CAAAAAAGAAAAAAGAAAAAGAAGCTCCACCACCGTCCTGAACACAGAACGGGCAACGACCTTAAAGCCCACAAAGCTAGCTATCACTGTGCTCAAAGGATGAGCAGGGCTTGACCGTTTGCTGATAATGTCAGCATCATCAAATCTAACACTAACGGCCGAGCACTTCTTGCATGGCTCAAAAGGTAATTGTGTGGATGAGAGATTTGTACAGTGGCTGTAGTTCGCCAGCGGGGGCATCTCTCTGTAATTGCTAGAACAGAGGCTGTGGACTTGCCACGTGCAAATAGGGAGATAACGTGCTGGGCTGGCAATTGTGAAGCAGCGGCTTTTGGTGGGTTGACATTGAAGTAGGAAACTGCAGAGACTCGGATTGGCACACGTGGCAGGGGTCGTCCAATTCCCCTGTGACAGCTTTCAGCCATTGGATTTCCAGCTTGAGTGCTGCATTTTGAGCTGGAGACAACAAATACAGAAGTGTCTTAAGGATCGATATATCACGCATTACTGTAGCAAAGAGAAGCCCTCGAACCGAAAATCACTTGACTAGTCATCGTCCCAGTGAAGCATAAACACAAACTAGATATAATCCAAATTGGTGGGCATGAAGTTGGAGAAACACTCGCGGAAGTTCTTGAGCACGAAATTAAACCATGATCATTTTCTGATGGGAGACAGAAAAAGAAGAAAAGACACCGAGGGCAGTAGTTAAATAGGCAGGTGCATACCATCGATCTGCTCGGTTTGACTCTCCAGGGTCTGCAACTGACATCTTAGTTCTGACTTTTCAGCTACAAGCTCCGTTGTCTCCCTCTGAGAGAGTTGAGATTTTCAAAAGTCAAATGGTTGCACAAAACAAAAGGAGATGCCACTTAATTAGTACATTACATTTCAGCATGGGGAGAAAGTGAGCGTCGTTTAGGTTGATTGCGTGACATGCCCTGCAAAAACATATGAAATGAATCGAAACAAAGTACATGCCTGGGTTGTGGTGAGTCGAGTATTGAGCAAAGCCACCTGCGAATTAAGCGTCTTCACCTTTTCCTCGAGATTTACTATGTATTGAGCCTTCCTCTCTTTCGACCGGGCTGCCGAATGTCGATTTGCCACAATCCTGGAGTCAACCGCTACGTTTTATTAACAACAGACTCAGGTCACTTGCTCTATTTGTGGGCACAGATAGAAACCTAGCTGCTAACTGTTCAGACAAACAAGTTTTTCAATCCCGTAGTTTGATTTGGAGCTCATTTCTCCCGGATTTTCAAAACTTATGTTGGTATATTCAAGACAAAAGGCGAGCTTGGTAATTTTATCTTTTTATCATGTTCACAGGTTGCCAATTGGAACCTAATTCACCTCCCATTACCCTGTAAAAGGAATAGCAAGTTTCTGACTTGCGATCAATTGACACACAACAAAAAGGCTTCATTCCCAGCTAGCTAAACCCTCCAAAATACTCCATGTTCCTATGCCCAGTCATCAATCATAGAAAGTACTGCTAAATTTGACTAAGAAGACCCTAAGCAGAGGAGAAAATAAGAGCAAGAGCATTGAATCCTTGTCTTCAATTTGGATTTTAGATTTAACTGACTTTGGTGATCATTAATTAGTTAACATTTTTTTTTTTGAAAAAAAAAAACTGACGTTGTATGGTAAATGTGTGACGTTGTACGGTTGAACCATGCAACAACGTTAAAATAAAAGGATATGAACCTCTTGGCCCGCTTAGGATCGATTGCCCAAAGCTCCGCCAACTCTTCCGGCGCCATTGCTTTTCTCGGCTCCACAAACCTTTTCTCATCCACCAAACAACCCTTCAGCCCACGCCGTTGCCGTTGTTTCCTCGGCTGAGTTGTGATGATAGCAGTCTTGCTCTTATCCTTCCTCTTTCGCCTCCCTCGACAACGGCCGCCGCCACAGCTCCCGGCAACAAACCCGCCTCCGTTCTGGAGAACGTCGTGATTGTCGAGGCCGACGTTGACGTCGTTCTCCTTCTCTTCCAGCTTTTTTACGTCCATGTAAACTGAGAAAAGATCATCGTCAAAGTCAATGTCGAAATCAACAATGACATTATCATCGTCATTGTCGAATGTTTTTACAGTTAACTCCGGCGTCCATGCACAGTCCAGGGAACCTTTGAAAGGAGAGCTGATCATGTCGGCGTTGGGTGTTTCCAAGAACAGAAGAAATGGCGGAGTATTAGTTGCGGGGTTTGGCTCGTCTGGATTAGTTGAATTCATCAAAGATATTTAAACAAAAATTGAAAATTCTGAAAAAAAAAAAAATAATAGAATATTCTGATGGAGTAGTTTTGGAAGATTCAACAATAAATTAAATATGGGATTTATTTTGAACAATAAATTAAAAATGATGGGGTTTAGTATTGGAAGATTCAACAATAAATTAAATATGGGGTTTTGTCCCGGTAAAATTAGTGCTCCCTGGGCCTTTATATATACTGAGGAAGAAGAAAAAGATTAAATTTGCATTTCTTGGCCTGAAATTAAATGTGACGACTTAAAGATGGCCACTTGTCGTGGTGAAGTATGGTTTCTAAATTCATGGCTGCTAAAATATAGCTCACCACCCTATATTCCTGTTTAGGTGGAGGTTTTCCTTCGATCAAGGGGCATATTCTTCTTCAAGCTTTTATCTTCTTCCCATCTGGCGTCAAGAATTTCTCTATTTTCCTCGTTATCTGCCACGCCATGCATGTACTTATCCACGAACTTTATTATCAACTCAATCGATCAGGGGATCCAGGCAAGCCATGAACCCGTTTGTCAATTCGCTCCGAATGCCAATAACCAGCCATGAGAAGTGAGTGGAATTACAAAGAACACAAGGCATTTGCCTTGCTATAATATAGGAAGACACCCCTATAATAATAAAAAAAAAATCTAGGAAAATGAGAAAGTTGTATTTAGCAAGTTTGTATCATACACCAAAAAATAATCAGCCATTTCCATTATATATCCATAACAAACTAATGTAGTTCCACAATAATGTGAAAAATCTAGGAAGCTGCAAATTTTTTAACTCCTCGTAGGGCACCAAACGAATCGAGTTGCCCGCGAGCGGCTCGAGTCGAGTTCGATCAATATCGAGCTCGAACTCGAGTTCAAAATATTATGCTCGTTAGCTCGCGAGTCGGGTATATATATAATATTTTTTATTTTTTTTATTTTAAGTATATATATTTTTTATTTTAAGTATATATATTTTTATTTTCTTATTTTAATAATAAAATTACATATATATCCTTAATATTTTATTATTTATTAAGAAAAAAATATTATTTTATTTATTTTTTAAAAAATAAAATATTTATTTATTTTTTTTCGAGCTTGAGCTCGAATCAAATTGATTCGAGTCGAGGTCGAGCTTTAAATTGCCGGTTCATCAAGCTCAACCTCGAGTTCGAGTTTGGTAAAATTTAGTCGAGACTCGACTCGATTTAATTAACTCAAAACTCGATTCGACTTGACTCATTTGCAGTACTACTTCGTCGGACCTTTTCTTATTACAGTCGTTTGCTCTCAAGTTCACGTCCCTGTATAAAATGGTCCAATGCCGGGACTGAAGAGTGGAGCGAATAATTTGAATATAAACAATCCAAAGGTGAAAGAGAAGGCACGAAGCCTCACTGACTCAAAAGTGTACAACAGCAAAATGTGTTAGCCCAGTAGGCTGCATGGAGAATACACAAACTCCACCAAATTTACTACGATCAATAATACTTTTAGTTATTTCAAAATTGGAACTAACCCGCAACCCAATTTTTCTTTATTTAAAAAAAAAAAGAAAATAAAAATCAAGTCCATGGTTATCTGACGGTCAGCATTTGGAGAAAGAAAAAGAATTTTTTAAGGACAAGGGAATGATGCACAGCCGCACTAGCAAGTCAAGATTTGGACCATTTGATCTTGGTGGATGAAATGGTGAATCGCCAACCTCAACTGTTTTTATTTTAAGTAATTATCTTCAAGATATGACAAATTAGTTGGCAGACTAAAATCACATCAACTTTAAATTAAATAAGGGAAGAAAAACTTCACTATTTCCTGTCTTGCCAGAAAATATCTACTTTGTCGTGTTGCTTGCATTCTTAGCCAATGACACCATCGGAGAAACTAGATATTTCCCCCCCCGCTTCTCATGCCGCAAAACCGTGCATGACTGATATTGACAATTCTATAGGCTGTCCAAGGATTATTAGGAAAACAACATCCACCATTCCATCAAATTGCGTCATGATGTATGCTAATACAGGAAGTAAGATGTAGTTGATCTGTTGTCACAATTAATAATGTTCTTCAGTGGATGATTCCTCAGATACTTCTGTGCAAATTTGCAGTGCTACAAAGTAGTGGTTTTAGTATAAACTCCTCCAAGTTATTGTTGAGTTTAAGGTAAAGAAGCAGTGGTTCCTTTCTCTCCCTACCGAGTATCTAATTCCTAGTCCCAAAATTCAATTCGACCATAGCTATGCTGGACCAATATTGATCGAGTCCCCTGGTCCCGATTTTCAATCACAGCAGCAAGAACCCTTTCACTTTCAGTAATTGATTCTCTCCTTTCCTTTGCTTCCTTATCCATTTGATCCACTGGATGCTTTTCCAAAGCTTCTATCTTGTTGGAATCCTTCCAACACTTCCTCGTTTTCGCCTAAGCACGCCGTCTCTTCCTTGGCAATGCGTCTAATCATGCATCCCGGTCACTTGAACCCCAGCTGGCTACTCGCTACTTTGCTTCCTATCAGCTCACCACCACATCTTCTTCTTCATCTAATTTCCCCCTCATCCGTCGGATCTACACATTCCGACTTTTGTATGTAAAATACCTTCACCCAGCCAGCTTCACGGTTTTCTTGCATTTCAAAAAAAGCAAAAAAAAAAAATTCACCCTTTCGGATTCAATTCATCTAGTCACTAGCTATATCAGGCATTTTTGCCAGCATTGAACTAGCAACGACCCATATTTATTAGTTACGCCAATTAATGGGAAATCAACAGAATCGATATCACCTGCCTCGGCACCTCCTCAACGGATCCGATGTTGCAACAATGGCTTTAATCAACGAGACAAGAAGCAACCCGACTAGTAACGACGCGAATTTCGACAGCAACATGGTGATAATATTGGCAGCTTTGCTATGTGCATTAATATGTGCGCTTGGCCTAAATTCAATTGTGCGCTGTGCATTAAGGTGCAGCCGGAGATTTGCCTTGGAAACTCCCGAGGGTGTAGCCTCACGTTTGGCCTCATCGGGTCTAACCAAGGACGCGTTACGTAAAATCCCGGTGGCTGTTTACAAGTCGGGAATCAATATCGCAGCCACGGATTGTCCCATATGCCTGGGAGAATTTAGTGAAGGAGAGAAAGTACGGATTTTGCCCAGATGCAATCATGGTTTCCATGTCAAGTGCGTGGATACGTGGCTACTGTCGCATTCATCCTGTCCAACTTGTCGGCAGCTGTTGTTTGGACATCCTACTCCGGCGAATACTTGATTAATGCAAGGTAATTAATGACTGCTGATGAGGTTTTGTGGTTTGTAGATTTTGCTGCAGAGTAATTGTTGTTATCTGGCAATAGATGAGGAGGGTACGTAATCCGTAACTGTTGTTATGCTCGTAACTATAGCAGGTTAATTGGTCTCTGTCATGAGTAGCAGCGGGAGGTAATGTCGTTGTTTTGAGAATCCAAGAGTATGTCAGTTTACTCTTTAGTTTCGAGTGGCTATGTATTAAGTTCACATGTATGTATGCATGCGCAGAAATTTACCAACAACAACTGTAAAAAAAAAAAAGAAAAGAATAGATGAAGAGACTAACTGGAGCAGTTAGTTATCTGGTGTTGCTACGTTCTTGCAATTATAGACTGCTTAATTTGTCTAGTCCGCAAATGCCACACTTCCCTCCGAAAAAAACTCAGAGAAATACCATTCCACGTAAGAGGTGAGGTACCTGCAATTATGTATGCGGTGCATCACCAATATGGTAATAGGACCGCAAAAATACGAGAAGAATCTTGGAAGAGTCTCTCAATCTGAGGGGAGTAGGGGACCAAATGAATGAATGAACAGTGAAGGTCGGATATCAAAAGACCAAATGGCAGCCTGCAGTTATGAGTTATGGGGCAGGGAATTGGCTGGGGAAAAAAATGCACGTCAAATAAACTGCTACTGCTACAAAAGACTGGAAAATAGAGTACTAGTACTAGAATTGACTGAAAAACATGAGGGCTTCCTTTAGTTAGTTGTCCGGTTGGCTTCGAGTGGCGGTGAACTAATGTAACTGCTCTTTCACAGGCTTCACATAAATATTCCAGTTAGGTGAGCCATAGACTTTTGCCGCCGGGGAGGGGTGGGGGGTGGGGATCTTGGAAGATATTTAATGTTTTTTATTTTTGGATTTTCCTTCACTCTTCTTCGATTTCTGGTGTGAAATGATTGATGATTAAGACGAGAGTTGTTAGGACCACAACTGCTCCAATTAAACAGGCAGAGAGAGAGAGAGAGAGAGAGAGGTAAATAAAACATCTTACCATTCTGGTGATTGGAAATTTGATGCAATATCCATTAGTACCATGAATCGCACCACATTCTGGTGATTGGAAATTTGAAGTCACTTGGAGCAAATTGATGCGTCATCCATGTTAGTTGAACTGCTAGGAGTAGTATAAAGACACAAGAGGTGCCACTGCTCCTTAATTTGTTCTACGTACGTAGGTGAGTACTTTAGTTATTGCATGTGTGGGCGTACGTGGGACCATGAGTATGTATATGGACAGTAGTAAACTCTATTACCGCCAGATTAATGAGGGCTTTTTAACTAATGTCACTGATACTGATACGAGTGGATCATAGTCATTCATGCATCAATTTTTCTAGTGCATGACGCTGTCAATTCATTTGTTCGTAATGAACAAGCACTTAACTCTTTAGTACTATAAATTAAGTTTCACGTTACTCGTATCGTATCTAAATGTTTGTTCATCTATATATGTGTGTCTTTTCCTTTCCCTAGGAAAGGGATCTAGAAACGAGAAGTTGTTGCGCTCTTAAATACAAAAGAAAGTGATGATGTATTTGGCAAAATGAAAATCAAAGAACAAAACAATAATATAAGTGGTAGTTAATTGAGTTGGCACATGGACAAAGCAAAGCAAACAACAACGGCGGATGCAGGCTAAAACTTGTTGAGTTTTGCCTTGATACTAATTGATATGGTGGCGTCTAGAAAGGCAATGGGTGGTTAGTAGGTGAATAATAAGGCGAATAAGGGGAGCCCATCACAAATGAAGACTGGGCATTGCCGACGAAAGAGGCGGGATTATTATTATTGCTGCCGGCATGATGGTTATTACGGCCTCGATTGGGAGTTCTTGGAGCTGGACTTCTTGGTGTAGACACCATCCCACTCCGACTATATCGATTCTCTCCGCTTCCCCTCGGCCCTTTCTCCGCCCACTTTAGCTCTTGTTGTTTAACCAGGCTTGGATATCCCATGCAACATCCCATTTGTCCTGCTCTCTCAATGTACCTGTGTCGATATAATTGATAAACAAAGACGAAATATTATTCTGCTCTTCTCTGAGTACTGAAAAATTTTGTAATCTTGAGCTAGTTTTGACGTTCTCAGGGCATTTGGGGCTCTTTTTTTGTCGACCGGCTGATTAATTACTGTATCAGGCGGCAAAGGATAAATTAATAAGTAGGGACAATTGAGCATTGCCTTCATACTGTTTATTATAAAGCAAATCAAACGGTTCCTTCTACAAATTATCAAGGAAAAAAGCAAAACATTATCTGTCGTTTAACTAGTACATGCTACATTATTTTATGTAACTTCGTGTTCTGTTGAAGCTTCCAACAAACCTCATCCATTAATCTTATTATATTCATATGAATTAACTGCGACTTAGTCCACATTCCTAATCATCATGCATAAAAATATCTTAGATTTTTTATTTTATGTTTTGTTTCCACTATCACGACTGAGTCAAAAGTATGGAGCTTGAGGCATGCAGTTAGGGATAATTTGATCATACACTGCCGCCTCACTTTAGTGCAGCATTTTCTGAGTCCCATTGATTCTGCAGGGGTCATCTCAAGCAAATTCTATGTATAGTACCGACGTTATAGCTCGTGAGTAAGAGTTGCTGTTGAGAGAGTGATACCTACAAATTCGATTTGAATTATAGTAGTTTAGGTCTGTACTGTCAGGAAATTACTACCCTTTAACCTAAGGTTTAGGTCTACACTGTGCTACCATCTTTTCTTTCTTGTTATTTTCTCAAAAAGACCTGGTTGGTCAGTATTCGATGTCAGTTATAGTCGACCCATCGATCCATATAAGTAGAAAATTTTGAAGTGTGTACCGGTGACCGAATCTTCGTCCCAAGCACTCGATGCACTTTCGGCCTTCTGTCATTTCTCCCATGCCAATAACCACGCACTGCCGGCAATAGACTCTCCCGCATACCTGAGTGGAGAATTTTACAATAACTCATGCATGTCCACGAAAAAATTGGGAGTAGAAACAGAAGCATCTAAAAAGACCAAAGATTGAAATAACGCGACGTAATGCATGTGCAGGCTGATTAGCTTTAATTCCTCCATTAAAACAAAGATATCAGGAAACTTGAACCTTATGAATATGCCATGTGATCAAAAAATCATGTTCATTCATCTATTATTTCTCTCACTTCAAACCTAAGCTTTTATCTTTGTCACTTTGACTCAATTTCGATGGACCAAAGCAAATATTCACCAAGTTTGGATAAAGAAATTACATCAAGGAATTAATAACATTCCTAGGCGACAAAGTTAATAAACATAACCTAAAGGCGACCGATCTATCTGGCCAAGTATTTACATGCTTATTCAAATTTAGAGCAGCCGATAATGTACCATACGTGTATTCTAAGTTTTGACGAACGTTGTCAGAATGTGTAAATCTGTGCATGACAAATTGATGATATTTATGTTCAAAACAAATTGATAATTGTGCCTAATGCTCTGAAATAATAGTATAACAGTGATAGAGCAAAAAAGCAATATGTCAGAGGGACAAAAAAAAAAAAAAAAAAGGAGGCTAGAGTAAAAGATGGTTGATTTACCAGGCAACGATGACGGAAAACATAGATGTAGGTAGTGCAAACGGTGCAGATATTGGAGTGAGGGATTCCAGGTCTCCGCCTTCCTCCTATCTCCGGGTATCCACTCATTGAAGCCATGCTGATGCCACTCATCTGGCTCATGTCATCATACCCCATGTTGTTGTGCATCCCGCGTGTACTATGACTATAAGGGCGGGCATGATGATAATGATGAGGAGGAGGTGTAGTCTGTCCATGAACATAATGGTGGCTTCGATGACCATTTGCACCCTGATGATCACCAACCCCAGAATTGTGCAAATGATTAGTAGTCATTGGTGAATTGTATGTGTCTCGACTCTTTGAAAGATGATGGATATGGGGAAGGTGGTGGGATTGATAATGAATTTGATGATCGCAGCTGGCGGAAGCCTCTAGGCCTCGGCTAAAATCCAAACTCGGTATTTTTTTGAGAGGGGCTACTTCTTCTTTTCTTGGGCTGGCTTCAATGATGGAATCCAAAGTGGGTGGTGCGTTATTCTTGTCTATTGAAGGGAGACCATTTTGTTGCCTCACTTCAGCTAGGTCTTGAAAGGTGAGGTTAACTGAATCATCAGGGATCCCTGAATATAACTCCTCCAGCTCTCTTTTTGCTTTTGCGAGCTTTGTCAAGTCTCCCATTGTTTTCTTTTTGGAGAGGAAAAGAGTGTAGGGTTAGGAGGTATGCGTTTTAGGTGTAGGGATTTTTCCAATGCAGGGGAAACGGTACTTATATGTATAATGCAAGTGCAGACGGCAGGAAAAAGCCAGGATACCTGGCCGGTCGAGAATTGCACTACCGGACAAGGGATGACGAAGAGATTTTTGAGAGTACAGGAAAGATATATATATATGCATTTTTTTTTTCCTTCTATCAGTCATGTGCTGTTCTTTTTAGTTGGACTAATTGCCTCATTTGGGCTTTCGTCTTAAAAATCAATTGACGGTAAGTATAGATCTTGATTAATTCTTTTTTAGTTGGTTTTGGCTTAACTGATGTGAGATAGATTAGGTTGTTTAACAATGATAAAGCATCATAAAAGAAACGTTGAATTCCAGAGTAAAGGGGATTTTTGAGAGTAGAGGGACTATATAGTGCGTGCATTGTTATCATTTTACACTAGCTAGTACTGTATAAGGATTGCTTAAACATCGATGATCGTTGCTATTAGCAACCATAAAAATGTTTCGCAACCCTCTTTCCTCCATCCCAATGCATCCTTCTGTCGGTAATTAACCATTTTAGACGATACTCGGTTGGGAATCAGGTGGGAGCCACTTGACTGGTTAAGTAGTAAATCTGCTTAATTACATAATAGTAATAATAAGGGATAGTCATTTAGCGAGTTAATGGTTCGGGATAACATATGGCCGTCCCTTAGGATCCTTACAGGATGATGATGGTGATGATGAATATTTTCAATCTAGGCCGACTCTGACAGTTTTTTTTTTTTTTTGGTGATTATTTTAAGGTATTAACAGAGAAAACTAGAAAAGCTGTGTGTTAGCCGAGCGTGCGCAGAGTTGAACTTCTCAACTCAACAATGATAGAAATAATGAAATCATCATGTTAAGATTGGATGACCGGCAGGAAAAGACAAAGGGCTGGCCGGACTATGAGAGGGCAACAAATTCTTGCTGTCTTTGATTGGGAGAAGAGAAGGTATGGGTGGTTTATGGAAATGGCATAAACGCGTTCGTTCAACCTAATAAGGTATAGTGATCAACGATGTAGGGCAACAACTAATAATATATAGTTTTAAGCATATGAGCTCATGCTTGCAATCCTCAGGACGTCAATTCAACATTTCACTTCTCCTGAGTCTATTGGTCGGATTCTTTCCATTCAGCCTTTTGGCAAATCCTACCAAGATTAGCTTGTGCAATGTATCTTATTAGTACCAAATAATCCGGAATGAAATATCTTTGCGCGTCTGCCTTCTTTTTTCTTTTTTTTTTTTTGAGCCTTCCTTCCCCAGAGTCACAATTAACCCGAGTTTTGGACTTCAGATTCTGTTTTATTGTCAATTGGCATCTGACTTCGGGTAGCATTCCTTTTGTTTCTTCCCCAGGGAAACGAAACTTCTACCCAGCTAATTCTCATTCGTTGTTTGTCAGCAGATTAGCAATCGCCAGCAAATTGTTCGACTCACGTGAACATTTTTTTATTAAAAAAAAAAAAAAAAAAAAAAAAAAGGGGAGAAGAAGAAACGGGAAGGTCCAAAAAACTCACTACTGTATTCTTTGACGGTAATGCTGTGTATATAAAACCTAACAAAAGGGTTATGAGATGTGCTACTGGCTACTGCTATATCATTACAACCAAAATCCAAAACTTATAAATATCAAGATATATAGCTCAGATCTTTCAAAAAAAAAGAAGAAGAAGATATATAGCTCAGCAATTACTCATCTTTTACCCTTTTTCTATCAGAAACTACTCCTCTTTGCCCTTTTTCTCGGGCCCCATATTGGCTGATGCGCTGCACCCTTCTTCAGGTAAGGACCCTTCACCGTCACCGGGAGCATGCGATGGTAGCAAGTGATGGCTCAAGCTTGCAACCCCATCCTGCCTCATATACACGTCCAAGGGAATGCTCGCTGCGTCTATGAGGGTGGCCAAGTTGATTCCAGCTGCTGCCTCAGCTAGCATGTCTTCTTCCCTACTGGGGTGGCAGTTTAGGTCTAATTGTCCCTTATTGCTCTCTCCTGCCTCCATCAAGCTCCCATTCTGGCTTCTTTCAGCATCTGAATGATTTGTCAGCAGCAATGCCTGCTCAGCTGCCCCTTCCATTTCTGACATATCTAGAGGAGGAGTTTCTTGATCCTTTCCCTGGAGAAGTTCAGCTTCTCGGTCTGACTGGCGCTTTTTCTTTCGCATCATGAGTGTTTTGAAGCGCCTTTTCACAGTCAGGCAAACATTACACTTGCACGAAGGTGGGTGTTTGCCCTTTCCACTTGGGGGCTGAATGCAGACAATGCAACTGCATCCAGGACGATGGCGAGGATGTTTGGTAGTGGCTCCAACTGACATCTCAGTCAAATCCCCCATGTTGTCCCCTAAAACAGCAGCAGTAGCCAATGCATCTAAGCCAGAAGGCTCATAGTCTTCAGCTACCTTGGCTTCTACTATTCTTCTCCTCTTAAAATCTGTCAGCAAACATGAAAGACAGAAAAATTCCCAGAAGTTAACTCTGATTTATGGGGATAGACATTTAGCATTTGATATCATTATTCAGAAACAAATTCTATCATCCAAAGAAAAACGCAGAATAAGAGCAAAGCGACTACAACAGAAGGGAAATTTTCAATTCTTTCATTCACACTGTTAATGGACGTGGAAATTTCTGTAAATCCTGGTCAAATGATAATATGTTCTTTTTCCATGGACGAATATCAGAATATAGAGGAAGGTTGATGAAGTAGTTAAGTGCCACCTTGTTTCTACTCCAGAACATTCCCCGATTTCTATGAGCACAAGTACCCGATGTGAAGCAGCAGATGGAGCAGAAAATCAGGGTGAAAAATGTGCACGGATCTACTGTTTAGTATGACTCACAAAATGTAAGAGGAGTGTATATAAACCCACCACTCATGTGTCAAACTCTTGAGATCATTCAAAGCACCATCTAAGATGGAATTCCTATCTAGATATTCAATCCGTTTTATCAAACCAAGACACGTACTATGCAGAAGAAAATTGAAATTCCTACTCTAATTGAACCAGATATATCCAAAAAAGTACGCAACTTATACACATTTTAGACTGCTGGCATACATTAATATAAGGAATACTACTAGGAACCAAATAAATGTAGTAGATTACCATCTCTGCGGCGGTATGTTAGTGGTGGTGGTGGTGGTTGTAGAGAGAGAATTATTGAGAGCAAAGATGACGAGGAGAAGTAGAGGTAGGAGTTTGAGGGGAAAAATAAAATAGTTGCACAAGAACTTAAGAGGCAGAAGGAAACAGAGAAAGAAGTTTATAGAATGCATACATTCATACTGTGTTTCTAGTAATAAGTTCAATTGTTTTATACTACAGCCATGAGAGGATATTGAATATTGTAAGTAAAAACTCAATTTGGTATACCAAAAGAGTATCTCACTAGCATACAAATCTCATAAAAGTTTTCATAAACCTAGAAGTATATTACATTATGATTGATTTTCACAACTTATTAAAAAAAAAGGAAAATTTGTAATGGATTCATACCCTTGCTGGCTATATTGAGAGCTTCCAGTTCCCTTGGATTGATATCATCAGGAGCAGAACATGTGCTTCAGGAAGAAATTCAAAGACATGCAGGTTAGAACTTTTATCATTCCCTTCAAATAGAAACAAAGGAACTTAATGCCTAAACTCCCCAGAATAGTAGCATTATTGGGGCTGTGGAAGTGGGTATGTGTGAGGTGATCGGGTAGTAAATCTCTACTTACCGAGTAAAAAGTAAATGGATTAACCTTAGCAGCAACAGTTGCAGATATTTTGCTTTGTGTGGAAGAATGAACTCTTTAGCAAAATATTTATAGTGTTTTTATCAAAAAACAAACCACAAACTTACCTGTTTAAGACCCAAGCATTGTCTGGACATGTCCATCTTGCAGGAACAAGAACATGCATGGGCAGCCTGCGCCATTTTGAGCAATTGTCACATTGAGCCCACTGTTCCTGCTGCCTGAATAATCATTTTCCGCATTTCAGGAATAGATGCATTGCAATATAAATAAAATAATAACGCCATACAGAAAATCAGAACGATATTGGATTCTGTGATGCTTAGTGAAAACAGTCTCAGTGCTGTGATCAGAGGAAAAACTGAAAAAAGCTCGTTGAATTACCAGCTTCAGTAGAGGCTTTAACTTTTAGAAATCAAAGTAACTAATTTAATGTGGTCAACATGCTTTTTGACATCTTGAAAAGACATTTTTGCTGTCCAAATTCCTTGTATATTGGCCAAGAACTTAAAAGTATACAAGAATGATGGAGCCGATATGTGCTTAACAAATTGCCTTACCCTAGCAAAGATTAAAAATACCACCTTTTCAGAAGTTTGCATGGAAGAGAGAAGAGTAATAATTAGGAACTCAATCCAATAAATTGTAAGCGATTCCAAATATAGAGCTAGGTAGAGAAGGCATCCAACAAGTCTTGAATACATCTAGATCATAATTTCTATCAGACTTCTAGAATCAGAGAAGCTTTCTTGGCTAAGAGTTTCTATCAAGAGAAATACATCTAAAATTTGTAAAACCATTAAGCAGTGCATGTCATAACCCAAAAAGCAACACTATAGTGCAAAATATAGCTGTATACCAAAACATTTTGTACAGATAAAAAGACATCCTTACCCAGATGGTTGAACAGTAAATATAGTCCTCTTCCCAAATATCGGTGGT